TGTTTCAAGGCTCGCCCTTCAGACCCACCCAAAACCCATCCATTCATGGGTGACTGCCGATTCAAGTTTTTCTGGGAATGGATTGCTTTGGGATTAGATGGTTACAGCGTTTGACACCCAACGATAAAGGTCCCACTTTGATTCACTTGTTTGGTATATCAAATGAAAAAAAAAAAACAAAGAAAGATATTGAATAAAATAAAAAAACTAATTTTATGACAATTTTTTTGGAGGTGAAATATGTGCTTTTCCGAACATGTTCAGATAATAAGGGTCGGAAGGAACATAGATAAAATTTGAAATATATTTTGATGTAAAAAAGGTAGGAATATTTTTAATCTAACACATTTTCCTATACATTAGTTATTCATCAGTTAGGCAATTTTAGCTAATTATCAATTTTAAATCATATTTTGACTTTTTTGGCCAGAAATATATTTTGATGTTATTTTTTAAAAGAAATCATATATCGATATTAATTGGATAACTGAAAAGAAAAATATACCTGTACATAAATAAAAATGTGCTCCTAAAATTTTCTCCTTGATTTGTGTGTCCATACATATTAAAATTTCTTCAATTCACACATAAGCAGATATTCCTCCAAAGTAACAAATAAAATTTTAAAAATGATCATTTTCATCCCACAAGGAGACAAATGGATAGGAGAGCGAAGCACGATTCTTGAACGCAGACCAAAGTTTAAAATATATTGATAACAAAAAAGGCAAAAAAGAGTATATTAAAAAATTACAAAAGAAGAAAAAAGAGATTAGGAATGCTTTTATGTTTCAGACATTTTTTCATACATTGTATATGTCATATAGCGTCTGAAGTAAGCAACATATTATTTATCAGTTATGAAACATTGATAAGAAATACTCCTCCAGTGCTTAATATATGACCTAATTGTTAAGTTAATTTTGGTCCTGAATATAAGACATATTTCTTATATTTATCAATTTTTTTCTAAATTACTCTCAACCATAATCAAGTAAGTGAGGGAGGGAGAATATTAAGAAAGATGATTATGATGTTTTTAGAAAAAAGATGTCATATTTCTTATAATTAACTAACTTAGCTAACTTTCTTAATCTAATCAAGTTAGTTAAATAAGCCTTATGTTAAAGACCAGAGGAGTAATAACTAAAAAACTCTTAAAATTTTTTAAAAAATTGATATTAGTTATAAAATTGTTTAGATATTCTTAATCAAATTACTTTGACTATTCTTCCATCCCGTAATTTCTATCACCGCGTCCCATTACCTCATGTATATCCAAATCCCTTTTCCTCCTTGTATCTTATGCTTTTCTGCGAAACATCCGTTAGCATAAAAAATTGATAATTGACTGACTTGTTTCTTTTGACTCTGGCTTTTCCCACTAAAGTACTCGCAATTGGGTGGCTAATAAATGAATTAATTATAATGTTACTTTCTTGCGTTGATTAAAACCTTGCATCAAGTTATCAACCTTCATGAACGAAGATTTGCCTGTTTGGATTTTATATCAAAAATCAATTATTATTGGCAAACTCATGGTTTTCTTCAAAACAAATCAAACGCTCCTCAAAATGTCAAAGTCAACTTTTAGCCTGAAATTTCATACCAGCTTCTGTTCCCAAAATCATAATTATAAATCAATTATAATTTAAGTATATCTTTCTCATCGCTTATCCAAATAGGTCAGATGTAATATAACATAAGAGCTGACACAAACAGGACTACATATCAATTATATATATATTTGGAAAAATTACTCATAAATCCCAAGTAAGAAAATTGAATATAGATATGTTTCAAAATTTTCATACTTTAAATTTACATATTTACAATTTGAATCACGTCATTTGTAAATAAATTTGTAAGAAATTGAATTTCTTAAAACCTGTTGTAATTAATATTTTCATCCAAGACTCAGGGACTGTTTTTGGGTCATCCATGTCTATACCTATATATGTCAATCAATTAAGCAGAGGTCTATAATTGATTGGAAGTGATAGCTTCCAAGAGATGACAGGCAATAAATATTTCTTTAATATATCACAATGCTCTCAGCCATGACAGACCAATATGTATACCGTATTCATGTACATGGAGAAACTTACAGGCACCATCGGCACCAAATTATAGCGTTTTTTTTTTTTAAAGGCATCCTACACATTAATAAAATAATAACTAAATGTATCTCTTCCTTGATCAAATAGTAAACTGAAAATTTAAGGAAAGTATCGAGCAAGAACAGTATGAAAAGAGAGACTATCTCAAGAAGCCAAGGTTGACAAGTAATAACACTCTACATATATATAAGCTCGTCGATCAAGAACCAGAGGGAAGTATCAACGTAGAAGCTTATTATCAAATAGAAAGTGATTTCGGAGAGATAATGAATCACCCATGGCATGACCACCCAATGACGCTGGAACGAGACGTAGCAAACCCATTTGAATGCAGTGGATGCAAAGAACTAGGGTTTGGCCCTAGGTACCAGTGTGAAATGGATTGTCCCTTTGTCCTACACGAGGACTGTTTCAAGGCTCGTCCTACGGACCCATCCAGAACCCATCCATTCATGGGTAGCTGCAGTTTCCAGTTTCTCTGGGAACCTCCCGGCGGACCGAACCGCCGATTGTGCGACGCTTGCGGGAGGGACGTTAAAGGGTTTGTGTATCATGATCAGTATAAACACAAGCTTGACTTGCACCCTTGTTGCATGAACCTTAAGAGCACCATGTCTGATCCTTATAACAGGATGATGCTGATTCTTAAGGACAAAATGCCCTCCAAGTGTGTGAAATGTGAGAGGAAGGATTTAAAGGTACAGAGCAAAGGGCCGTTCAGAGGGTGGTCCTACGTGTCTTCTTGTGGAAACTATTGTTACCATGTCTGTTGTGTGAAGAAATTGATTCTGGATAACTGGGAAAATGGCTATTTCAATGTTGGTCCCCCTTCTTCTTCTTCGTCTCCAGGAGGAAGAAACTTGTCCATAGATGAGACTGCAAGCTCAAGCTCGATCACGTCAGCCGAAAGTTCTCTGGCCTTGGCGAGAAGAGGCTCGTCAAGATCATCTTTCACTCGGGGACTGATCAAACTGGCGAAGATAGGTTTCAGCGTTATAATATCAGTTCTATTCGGAAATCCAACTCCACTGTTCACTGCTCTCGCTGAAAAGTTACTGGATTGAAGCAAAAGGATACAGTTCCAGTATATGATATATATATATATATATATAATTTATGTAATGGTATTTTTATACTGCTCGTAATCCTTGAGTTTTTTTTGTATTATGTGTGACGAACTTGTGTTAACCGATGATTGATCCAAGTCTCTGCCAATTGGCTTCGTCTTCTGTTGGCACTTGGTTGTACTTTTGCACTGTTTTTGCTGATGATAATGAAACTCTCTTTCACTTTGTTTTCTTTTACGGGATCCTCCAACCTTTAAATTTTAGGTTTAAGTCCATATTGATTTCTTTTTGAATTTGTGTTTTATGCGTAAGAGAACATTCCAGGTTTCGAATGTGAGGCTTCAAGAAGAAATATTGATCTGTATGTAAATCGAACTCTGGACGTGACAAAACCATCTAGACACGAGGTTGCAAACTAGAACTCATAAGATTACGACATATCATTAAAAAGATAAAATAATTGCAATATTATAAATCTCAAATGGATGATTTCGATGGATTTTTAATGAAAAAGACTTAGATATTTAGTTCTTTTATTCTGTCCTCTTGGCGTGTCGGATTTTTTAATAGATTAACAAATACTATTATTAGCGCTTTGAAATTCTCTTCACCTAATGGTCAAAAAAAATTCTCTTCATCTAATTTAATTGGGTAAAAATATTAAACACATAAAATTAATTATCTAAGTTTTGTTTATTTTGAAAGTGATGGAAACAGAGGGAACAACCGCTGATCTTTTGCCTTCATGTTCCAAAACCACACGCAAATAGAACCACTACGACTTATCCAGTTCTTTTTTTTAAAAAAGAAGAAGAAGAAGAAGAAGAAGAAGAAGAAGACGAATCACTTGGACCCAACTTATGCTACACGCGGCAGATACACGACTAGATTAAAGAAAGGGAGAGAAGAGTTTCTAGACGTAAAGAAACTCATAATGCCTTTTCTCTCTCCCCCTCTTTCGATTCTTCAGGGCGGTGGGAGTGTGTCTTTCACGGAATCTTCCTCTTTATAATAATGTTTTGTCATTTTGTTCTCTGTTTTTTTTTAATCTTTAAGGGTGGTGTCTTTGGTTTTTGCGACGATAATCAGATTTGAGGGCTTCAATGACGACAAATCTCACATGGCGGTTTAGATTCGCGCTTTTTTGGGATTGGTTTTTGATGATAATGGTCCTGCTCCCTGATAATGCAGTTTTAGTCTTGAATTTCTAGGAAGCACTTTTCTCATATATGGTTATAATATGAGTTATTACCTTTGGTTTTTAATATAAAAACTAGTTAACTAATTTGAGTAAATTAAAAAAAATTAAATTAGTCATTTATGATAAATATGTGTTGTTTTTCCTAAAATATTCTTTCTAATTAAGTGTACTGATTAGAACTATAATTGATTAGAAATGATTAGGTACACCTCATCGGGGAGAAAAAAAAAGGAAAAAGAAATGATCAGGTACAAATGCTTCTTTAATGACAGCTCAATGGTGTATTTATATATAACGTATGTCCAAAACATGCATTAAACATTAATAAAAGACTGAACATGCGAGTCGATTTAATAATAAACTGAAAAATTGAGGAAAAAACATCGAGGCGACGAACAGTACGAAAAGAGACAAACTCGAGAAGAAAAGGTTGACCAGAAATAACACTATATAAACTCGTCAAGAACCAGATGAAAGTCTCAAGGTATAGAAGCTCTTCAGTGAGAAATAGAAATAGAAAGTGATTTTGGAGAGAGACAATGGATCACCCACGGCATTAGAATAATCACCCAATGAGGCTGAAACTAAACGAAGGAAAGCCATTTCTGTGCGGTGGATGCAAAGAACTAGGGTTTGGCCCAAGGTACCAATGTGCCCAGAATTGTGATTTCGTCCTTCACGAGGTCTGTTTCAAGGCTCGCCCTTCAGACCCACCCAAAACCCATCCATTCACGGGTGACTGCAGATTCAAGTTTTTCTGGGAACTCCCGGCCGCCGCAACCACCGGCAGTGCGATGCTTGTCAGATGGGCATACGAGGTTTCATGTATCATGATGAATCCAGACACAAGCTGGACTTGCATCCTTGTTGCATGAACCTTAAGAGCTCCATGTTTGCTGGCTATTATAGGATGATGATGCTGAATCTTAAGTGCAAAATGCCCTTCAACTCCAAGTGCGTGAAATGCCAGAGGAATGATCCGAAAGTACAGAACAGATGGCCGTTCAGAGGGTGGTCGTAAGTGTCCTTTCTTGGAAAATATTGTTACCATGTCTGTTGTGTGAAGAAATTGATTTTGCATAACTGGGAAAGGGGCTATTTCGATGTTGCTTCTTCTGCTTGGCCTTGGCGAGGAAAACGCTGGTTCAAAGGTGAGACTGCTGCGAACTCATCAAAAAGAAGGGGCGTGCAAAGTGATAGAAGCTGGGTCACATCAGCCACAACATCTTCGGCCTTCATCAATGGCGGTTCTTCTTCTTCTTCTTCTGGTTGGTTCGGGGATGAGACTGCGAAGTCATCAAGAAGTAGAAGCGTGCAAAGTGATAGAAGCTCGACCATACCAGCCACAAGCTCTTCGGAGAAAATAGGTGTCAGAGTTATAATATCAGTTCCATTCGGAAATCCAACTCCACCGTTAGCTTCTCTCGTGGAAAACTTACTGGATTGAAGGTTGAAGTTGAATCCATTATATGTGTGTGTCTTTGCGTAACGGTATTTTTATCTTAAATTGCTTATAATCCTTGAGCTATGTTTGTACCACTCCTTTTTGTGTGATCAACTTGTGATAGCCAATAATTGATCCAAGTCTCAGCTGCCAATTGGCTTTGCGTTCTCTCGGCACCGTTTACGCTAATAAAACTTCCTTCACTTTGTTTTCTTTTGCGGGACATCCTCCACCTTTTAACTTCAGTTTTAAGTCCACATTGATTTGTTTTTGAATTTTGATTCTGTATGTGTGCTTGTATAAACGATTTTTAAGTTTCGAATGCGAGGCTTTGACAAGATATATCGATCCGTACGTAAATCGAGCCCTCTGGAGTATCGTTCGAATGCATAAACAGAAAATCAGATAAATCAAATAACTTAAAATACTAAAATTGTGCTACATTGTGTACCTTAAAAAGAGATTAGGAATACTAAAATTATTTATTAGGTAGGAAAATTTTTGCTTATATTATTAATTCTGAATCTTGTATCACTTCATTGTCTCCACTCAAGGGCATGCCAACGGACCAAGTCGAATCCCCAACCTAGGTTACAGAATCAGTTTTGGTGCTCATATGATACTTATCAAATTTCAACCGTTCATATTTGCAGCTGAAATTTAATTTTTTTCATTTTTTTGATGTTGTTTTAATAAATAGATAATCCAAAATAAATATAATCTTTTAACTATAAGTTGTTTTAAAAAATAATTTTTTAATTTAAAAATTATTAGTTGAAAATTTTAAATCTAGACCACTAAAACCATATTAGAATAGTATAAATTTCACCACAGCAATGAGTATTATGATGCTCATCACTGCGACAAGCATCAAAACTGGCTTCCCTAGGTTACTGGCTAGCTTGCGCGAACCTAGTGCTTTGGTTGTCCTTGTTTAGTGCTTATCATATGATGTGCTCTAAAATATAAACCATTCAAAATATGATTTGAAATTGGATGGATATTTTTCTAAGTAGTGTTAGTTATAAAATTATCTTTATCTTAAATTATATATCTATAAAAATAAAAAAATTATTTAAAATATAAAAATTATTTAACTTGAATATGAACCATTCAATATCAATTTGGATGGTCCAAATTAAAATGAACACTCCATATTCATCAAAAGATGAGCATGGAAATTGGAATGTGCTCACGTGTTCTGGGTAGTTAATTTGCAATAGAGAGCCCAATTAAAGACTTACATATATATACACACTATCTCCAATCCTTAATATAAGAGTTAGATAACTAATTTACAAATATTTAAGAAATTAGTTAAATTAGTCATTTATAATAAATGGATGTTATCTTCCCTAAAATATCCCAATCAATCATGTGTGTTGAAACTATCTCTTATGAAAATTTCTTAATATATGCAATCATTATAGAGATTACTTGTGGTTGAAATTGATAAATATTAGATACAAAGTGAATTAAAATCTTATATTTAGTAACAAGTTGAATTTTCAACAACTAGCTTTGGGTCAACTAATTAAAGTAACCAGGATTGTCAATAGATTAGCCTACGTTGATTTAAAACATACATCAAGTCATCAACCTTCCTTGCCGAAGTCAATGTATTATAAGATCCTACGCAACCGCCACAGCTATCAGCCAAAGAGATAAAATTTGTAAAAACCTAAATTCCTTAGAACCTGTTGATATTTTATTTTATTTTTTTTAATGGAGAGCTATGAGTAATTTCCCCTTTATCTTCTTCGTCAACTATATATAGTTATATAATTGATTGGAAATGATAGCGCCAAAGAGCAGTTAGGTACAAATGCTTATTTAATCTGATAATGCCATCAGCCCTAACAATCAGTAACGTATTTATATACGAAGAAACTTGTTGGTATCTTCGGCACCGAATTATATCGAATTTTGAATAAGGTATGTAATACATTAATAAAAGACTGAGTATGTGAAACAACCGTATGAAAAGAGAGACATATAAGCTCAAGAAGCCAAGGTTGACCAGAAATAACATTATATAATGAGCTCCTCAAGAACCAAATGAAAGTATCAACGTAGAAGCTTAATATCATCGACAAATAGAAAGTGATTTCGGAGAAACAATGAATCACCCACGGCATTACCACCCAATGAGGCTGAAACGTGACGTAACAAATCCATTTGAATGTAGTGGATGCAAAGAACTGGGGTTCGGCCCTAGGTACCAGTGTGAAATGAACTGTCACTTTGTCCTCCATGAGGACTGTTTCAAGGCTCGCCCTACAGGCAGATCCAGAATCCACCCACTCATGGGTAGCTGCAGATTCTAGTTCCTCTGGGAACCTCCCGGCGGACCGAACAACCGGTTGTGCGATGCTTGAGGGAGGGACGTTCGAGGATTCCTGTATCATGATAAATCCAAACACAAGCTTGACTTGCACCCTTGTTGCATGAACCTTAAGAGCACCATGTCTGATCCCTATGGTAGGATGACACTGATTCTTAAGGACAAAATGACCTCCAAGTGTGTGAAATGCGAGAGGAAGGATCTAAAAGTACAGAGCGAGGAGCCGTTCAGAGGGTGGTCCTACGTGTCCTCTTGCGGGAACTATTGCTACCATGTGCATTGCGTGAAGAAATTGATTCTGGATAACTGGAAAAGGGGCTATTTCAATGTAGGTTCGTCTTCTTCGTCTTCGTCTTCCAGAGGAAGAAGCTTGCTCAGAGGTGAGACTGCAAGCTCATCAAGAAGTATGAGTTTGGAAGGTCATAGAAGCTTGATCACATCAGCCACAAGCTCTTCGGCCTTGGCAAGAAGAGGCTCCTCGCGGCCACCGATGTCATCGTTCACTCGTGGGTTGATCAAAATGGCGAAAATTGGTTTCTGTGTTATAATATCAGTTCTCTTCGGAAATCCAACCCCACTCTTTACTGCTCTGGCCGAAAACTTGCTGAATTAAAAGGTTAGATCCTTTTTCGGCGTCAGCCCCGTATTATTCATAAGAAAAAGGTTGGATCCTTTTATCTTATGATATATATATTTACGTAATTCTTCGTATTTTGATATTGCTATAATCCTTGAGTTGTGTTTGTATTACACTTTTATGTTTGACGAACTTGTGATAGCCAATAATTGATCCGAGTCTCTGCCAATGGGCTTGTTCTCTTGGTTACTTGGTTCTACTTTTGTACTGTTTATCTAATAAAATTTTCTTTCTTCTTTTGCTGAATCCTCCATCTTTAAATCCTACGTTTAGGTCCAGATTGGTTCCTTTTTGAGTTTTTATTTTGCGCGCGCGCGCACGCAAAATTCTAAGGTTTAAATGCGAGGCTTTCAGAAGAAATATCAATCCAGACATAAATCGAGCTCTGAATGTCTAAAACGGCTTGATACGAGGTTATACAAGTTATAACTCATAAAATGGCAAAAATAATATCATTAAAAAGATAAAGTGACTTCATATATAAATTTCAAGTGAATTATTATCATGAATTTTAATAAAAGAAACTTGTATACCTAATCAATGCTATTTATTGTGTCCATGGTAAAATCTTGGCATGTGAATTTTTTTATAAGTTATTTATTCTATAAAAAATCTTTAATATTACTAATATTGTTAGCACTTTAAAATCTACTTAATATAATTTAAAATATTAAGTGTATAAAGTTAACTTGTTCTCCATTTTTGAAAAGGATAACTATGAAAGGCCTTGCCAAAAATAAATAACTAGGAAAGGAATGAAGTTGAGGTTATTTTTCTCCAACTAAAAGCAAGCAAAAGTCCAGGTGGTCCTGCTCACAGGCAAGTCGTCTGTCTAAGTGTGGAAATTTTGGCCTCTACCGTATTTGACCCATTCAATAGCTCTTCTTTCCTCTTTCTTCATAATTCACACAATTTCTCTCGAGAGCTAAATAATTAGTAATCTTATATTTTTTTGCCAGAATTATTAATCTTATATATTGATATATTGCTATCATTTCTCTTTTAATTAATCTGACCGTTCTTATGGGCAAATGCATGCCGGCATTTGTAGTTAAGTGACAAGCATACTGATAATTGTATAGACCCCCTTTTCAAATAAAAATACAATATCTGATATCCCGCATGTCACATCTCTTTTTATAACCTATTAGATGTCAATTGGAACTAATATAAGTCGTTTCGTAATACGTCTGGTCGAAAAATTTAAAATTCAGGATT